GAGAGAGAGAGAGAGAGAGAGAGAGAGAGAGAGAGAGAGAGAGATGGGATGGAGAGAGAAAGAGAGAGATACACAGTTACTAGGTTAAAAAAGCTGTTTACTTAATAATGAGAAGATAATAGCAGACAAGAAGAAGAATGTCAATCAACAGTTTCCTCGAAAAAAAGGTTACATTAGTGGGTTTTGTTTTCAACAGGAACATAGAAGTGGTCAAAATCCAGTCCAATTTAAGAGAACAAAGTCAGGTTTGTCAGCTAATCCAATGTCAGAGGTTTTATAGCCAGGATTGGCAGTAATGACTATGAATATGAAGACCAATTCTTCACTGGTGGTTGTTTCCAATGAAGAAACATGGATCAGGTCTGCCTTTTAAATGCTTTTTCAAAAGGCAACTGGATTTGCTTTCCCTGCACATTGGGCATTTCACTTCTCATCCAAGAAGCTTCTTCACTTATGTCTTGACTTCTATCTCTTCCACAGTAATGTCCATGTCAAGATTCCAAGTATTACATTCCCAAAAGTAAGAACTCTGAGGCAGGCATGTTCCTCAAAGAACATTTTATTGAGACATATCATATTGGCACACTAGGTGGAAAACTGGCTCTGGGTTCTTGCCAGTTTTCCACCCAATTAAAAGTAAAACTTTGCCAGTTCCCCCCAAAGTCACCAGTCACATAGTCCAATCAGCATACAGTCCTGTTACTGGACATCTTCAGTCTTCTCTGCTCAAACACCTGCAGAAACATCTTTGACTCCCAGGGGAAAGAATTTCATTTTGGCTACAACACTCCCACTATCTCTACAACCCATTCCCTCGCCCCTTCACTCCAGGCTGTGTCATCCCTGAAGCCAGGCATGGAAAAAGTTTAGAAGAAAGCTATGAAAAAGAAAACGGCCACAGTTAGGCCAGCTTCAGGGTTGACAATCCAAAGTAATGAGCCGTGATGGCACAGTGGCTAGAGTGCAGCACTGCAGGCTACTTCTGCTGACTACTGACGGCTGTCTGCAATTTGGCAGTTCAAATCCCACCAGGCTCAAGGTTGACTCAGCCTTCTATCCTTCCAAGGTGGGAAAATTACAACCCGGATTCTTGGGGGTAATATGCTGACTCTGTAAACTGCTTAGAGAGGGCTGAAAAGCACTGTAAAGTGGTATATAAGTCTAAATGTAATTGCTCTTGTTATCAGAACCAATAGTACAACCAAAAATCAAAGGTTTTTCTTGTTTAAAGAACAAATATTTTCTACCTAAAACAGCCTATGACAGTGTTACAATTGTAATATCCATTGAGATCCCATTTAAAAATGTTCTACTATAGATAGATTGTCCTATTTTATCTCCTATGATAAAAGTTTTAATATTCTTAAGTACTAAATTCACATACCAATGTGAATATACACCATGGATTGAATTGCATGTTCATTAAGAAATATTTTTGTAAAAAAAAAATCAATTTCAGATAAGCTAAAAAACTTCTCTTTGTGCAAATAGCCCCAATTCTCAATATACTGTAGAATAATTGAAAAGTTTTATAACTATTACCATTGGTTCAAATATATTAGTTCATGGCAACTATGGGAGCACAGTGGTTACTACAGGCTATTTCTGCTGACTGCCAGCTGATTGCAATTTGGCAGTTTGAATCTTACCAGGCTCAAGATTGACTCAATCTTCCACCCTTCTGAAGTGGGTAAAATGAGGACCCAAATTGTTGGGGGCAATATCGCTGGCTCTGTAAACCACTTAGAGAGGGCTGTAAAGTAGTATATAACTCTAAGTGCTATTGTTATTGCCATCCTAGTCAGTCCTCATCCCTCAAACCTGTTCATCTGTGGATAGATCTGGCTGTTAGAATTCACCCTGGAGATGAACTCAAAAAACGTCTAGACAATGAAGAGAAGGACCTGTACATTGACTACCATGCTGACTGTATCAAAAGTAAGCCACACAACCCGCAACTCAGCTTTAACCCTCAACTACAACCCTACCTCAACCGATCCACCATCACCCAAGACTAGGCATGCACGCCCCTAACTACCTCAATTCCAACTACTACTGGCCTTAAATGCAAACTACTCAATGCAAGAAGCCTCGTGAATAAAATACCTGAATGTTTCCTCCTACTAAATATGGCTAAATTCGACATTATATTTGTCTGTGAAACATGGCTCAATGCATCTCTCCCTGACTCCATTACCACAGTAAGGGACTATCATGTTTACCGATCAGATCGTGAAATTCGTAGAGGAGGTGGTGTTGCTATCTTCTATAAAAAGTCCTTACATCTAAAAAATATCCAAGTTACCCAGGAGCTTGCTCTTCCCGAGACCATCATCTGTGAACTATCCTTAAATATCACAATTCGATTCTTACTATGTTACAGAGCACCTGATTATGACATCGAACATGTAAACAAGCTAAATGCATTACTAACATGGGCTGCATCCTGCCCATACCCTTTTATCTTTCTTGGTGATTTCAATCTACCTCATATTGACTGGACCCTAAATGAATGTACAACTGAAATCATACACACAACCTTCTACAATGCTATTACAAATCTGGGACTGGAACAACTAGTAACCAACAACACTAGACTAAACAACTGCCTTGATCTCATCTTCTGCAATAGTTTGAATTTAATTTACGGAATAAAAACTAAAGAACCCTTTTCCAGCAGTGACCACAATATGATTGACTTTTGTCTCAACATATGCCCACACAAAAATCACCACAATGATGTAATCCCCAATTGTAACTTCAAAAAAGGCAACTATGATCTTATAGACAACGATCTCTCATCCCTTGATTGGCAATCTCTATTCACTGGATGCAATACTGTTGAAGACCATTACAACATATTTTTACTTGAAGTCAAAAGAGTCATCAAACTATATGTACCAACAACAACTCCCAAAACAAAACAAAAAAGCAGATTACCCATAACAATAAGGAAACTTCAATCCAAAAAGAGATCACTCTGGCAGAAAAACAAAACTGGTCACGTTGCCAATTTCAAAAGCCGATACAAAAATTTATGCCACCAGATAAAGACCGAATGCATCAATTATCACATTAAACAAGAGGAAAACCTTCTAAGCACCAATTCCACCCGTGCTTTTTACAATTTTGTAAACAACAAACTAAAAGACTCAAGGTCTATCCCACCCTTGATAGGACCTGATGGTAAAGACTGCAACGACGACACCACTAAAGCCAACATCTTTAACACATTCTTCAGCTCAGTATTTGTAAACAGCAATGGATCATGCCCAGTATTTCCTAGCCGTACCACAGATAACAACAATGATCTAATACATATCGATTTTACAGAAGACAATGTTGAAAAAGCACTACGCAATCTAAAACCATCTCTATCTATTGGACCTGATGGAATATGTGCCTACTTCTTAAAAAAGCTATCCACTGCCATAGCCAAACCTCTAAGCATAATCTTTGAAAAATCTTTCAGGACCAGCTCCTTGCCTAACCTATGGTCACAAGCCACAGTCATCCCCATCTTCAAAAAGGGAGACCCAAGCCTAGTTGAAAATTACAGACCAATCTCCTTATGCTGCGTCACCTGTAAAGTCATGGAATCAATTATTAACCAATCCATCATCCTCCACTTAGAGACAAACAACCTACTCTCCAATAAACAATTTGGTTTCAGAAAAAAACTATCCTGTAATCTGCAACTCTTACACTGCAAAAACATATGGATGACACAACTCGACCAGGGCAAAGCAATAGACGCAATCTACATAGACTTCTGTAAAGCCTTTGATTCAGTGGTACACGACAAACTACTCCTAAAAATAAAATCCTATGGTATCTCTGGACAACTGAATAACTGGATAGAAGCATTCCTGGCAAACAGACAACAAATGGTCAAAATTGGGAGCGTCCTATCAAATTCTGTACCTGTCAATAGTGGTGTCCCCTAAGGCAGTGTTCTAGGACCAACTCTCTTCATACTCTACATAAATGACCTCTGTGATCATATTAAGAGCAATTGCGTTCTTTTCGCTGATGATGTAAAGCTGTTCAATACCACAGACAATACTGCTACCCTACAAAAAGATCTTGACTATGTATCAGAATGGTCAAACAAATGGCAACTTCAAATCTCAACAAATAAATGCTCTGTCTTACATATTGGCAAAAAAAATCAGAAAATAAAATACAAGCTGAATAGTCAAGATCTTGTTGATGACCCAAGCTCTGTAAAGGACCTTGGAATACTCACCTCTAATGATCTAAGTGCTAGAGCCCACTGCAACTACATAGCCAAAAAGGCATTAAGAGTTGTTAACCTAATCCTACGTAGCTTTTTCTCTGGTAATATCACACTACTAACCAGAGCATACAAAACATTTGCTAGACCAATACTCGAATACAGTTCATCAGTCTGGAACCCACATTACATATCTGATATTAGCACAATTGAGAAAGTCCAGAAATATTTCACAAGAAGAGTTTTCCACTCCTCTACTCGTTGTAGAATACC